AGCGCTCTTATCCAAAGCACTTTACAGTAGTTAGCTAACGGTACAAATAATATTTGGAAAGATCATTAAGTGGTCCGTCGAGACCCTTAGCAATTTTCAAGTGGTCTGTGGGGAAAAGAAAGTTAGACTACAAAACCAATCAAGGTACCTCACTTTATTTTCATTTACTTGCTATTACTTATAATATAGGAGGAGGATGAAGGAAAAAAAGAATGAAAAATGGGGGTAGGGGGGAGATGAGAGTTGTTTTTTTTTGGCTGGGTCCCCGGGGGGGGCCCAAAAATGAAGCTGAGCACAGGGCCCCACTAACTCTAAATCCGCCACTGATCCCAAGTGCAACTCACACGAGCACTTGCATTCCTAGCCTTGCACATGGGCAAACTCGAACTCGTGCACAGCCTTGTGCGTACCCCAGCATGACAGGCACTGTACAGAAATGGGGGGAGGGATAGCTCAGTGGTTTGAGCATTGGCCTGCTAAACCCAGGGTTGTGAGTTCAATCCTTGAGGGGGCCATTTAGGGATCTGGGGCAAAAATCTGTCTGGGGATTGGTCCTGCTTTGAGCAGGCGGCTGGACTAGATGACCTCCTGAGGTCCCTTCCAACCCTGATATTCTATGAAACCGTGGGAGACTCGTGGGTACAGCAGGACCAGCGCCTCTGCTGAGGTTGCAATCAGTATCGCTCTGTGCACTGACCAGTGGGGGATGTTCTACGTGCTGTCTCTCTGCAATGGGCAGTGTCTGGCTGTTGCCAATTCCTTTCCAACACCGAAGCAGAGCTCTGAACTCCAGTTCTGTTCAGGTGTCACCTACAGCCTTTTCTCTTAATGGGGGGGTTTGGGTCGTAGGGTCAGCCTGGGTTTTACTGGTTGCCGGGGGGGATTGTGCCTGCCTGTCATTGCTAACTTTCCTGTTCCTGCTTTGCTGCTAGAGACGCTCCGAAAACTGATAAAGGCGAAGGTCTTTGAGGCAGCATTCCCACTGCACGAGGTGAGGAATCTGAGGGTGCCTCAGTGCTGAGAGAGTATGTGTGCGCAGGAGACAACGTGTGTGGATTGCAGATGCAGGAGAGGAAGTGGGTTAGTAGGGGAGGAGTGGCTGGGAAGACAGAGGAATAGGTCATGGTCCTATAGATCCTTTGGGTGAGGATGTGGTGGCATGTGTCTGGAAAAAGCCCTAACTAATATCTTAATAGAAGTGTGTGGGATGTGCGTGGGGGGGTTGGCAGGTTACATATATCTCTGTGCCTGATGTGAATGCTGTTTTTTTTCCAGCAAGAAGGGCTGAGAAAGTTACTGAAGGAGAATTGGGCCCAATGGAGAAAGATACTGAAGGAACAGTCAATTGAGGATATCAGGTAACCCACGCCAAGGGTATGGACAATGGGACAGCACTAGGGTGACCAGATGTCCCAATTTTATAGGGACAGTCCCGATTTTTGGGTCTTTTTCTTATATAGGCTCCTATTACCCCCCACCCCCTGTCCCGATTTTTCACTTTTGCTGTCTGGTCACCCTAGAGAGCACAAGGCCATCATGTGAAGTTATTCTGGATGGGTATTTTACTACACGTGACTCTGAGCACCCAGCTCCCAGTGTGGGGGAGTTCTACCCAGGGGTGAAAGTAAGATAAGACTTACCAGTACGGGGGGCCTGGCCCCTGGAAGGAGTGGGGCCTCGGGTGGAAGGGACGGGGCTGGGGGTCAGCCTCCCTAACCAGCCCTTCCACACTACCTGGGGGCTCTGGCGGTGATTTAAAGGGCCGGGGGCTCCGGCCACTTCCATAGCAGCACTTTAACATCGGCTGTGTATGGGCTGGCACCGGCGGCCACTTCTTACCGGTATGCCGTACTAGCCCGTACCATCCCACTTTACCTCTGGTTCTACCTAGTCCTCCATATGACTCCCAAGTTCAAACCAGAGCTGGACAAACTTAGTTTGCCTAACTGTGAACCCACTTGACTGCTGTGGGTTTAGGAGCATAGGATTGTTATACTAGATTACACTCGTGGTCTGTCTAGTATCCTGTCTCTGACAGCCGCTGGCACCAACTGCATCAGGGGAAGATGCAGCAATTCTGCAGAAGGTAATTATGGGATAACCTGCCCCCAGGAAATGTGCCTTTTAACCCTCCACACCCTTCCCCCAGACAGAGGTTGGCTCATACCGTGAACCAAGAGGGGCTATATCCTTTGGCGTTTTTAATCCTTACAGTTTGTAACTCTGGATATTCTCATCATCCATAGAAATGTCCAGCCCTTTTTTCTGCTAAGCTCCTGGCCTCAGGTGTATCCAGTGGCAATGAGTGTCTCATGCTAACTCTGCATTGTTTAAAAAAGCATTTCCTTTAACCACGTTTTAAGTTGCCACATTGCATTTTGAATAGCCCCTTATTCTTGTATTGTGAGAGCAATTCCTGACCTGCCTTCTTTAGGCTGTTCAAGTGTACAAAATAATGATTATGTCTCGTTTTATTAGTCTCCTTGCTAAGATAAAGAATCCCAGTCTTTTCAATTTCTCTAGGAGAGGTTATTTTTTCCCCATGCCCCTAAATCATTCTCCCTGACCATCTCTGAACCCCTCTGAATCTCTCTCTCTCTCTCTCAGGAGATGGGGTGACCAGTACTGAACACAGCACTCCAGATGGAGCTGCACCATTAGCTTTATATGTAGATATTCTCCTTTCTGTGTTAGTCTCAGGTTTGTTTACTCTGACTACAGCTCAACCTCACACAGATCTTCACTGAGCTTTCCACAGTGATGCCTGGATCTCTTTCCTGTGTTGTTACAGACTTATTGAGAACCCATGAATGAGCAGCTCAAATCAGTCCCTTCAGCATGTCAATACTGTATTTGATCATCTGCCATCAGCTTGCTCATTTGTTTAGCTTGGTTACTTCCTCCCCATGTTCTTCTCTGGCCCTGACTAACCTGAGTGTTTAGCATTGTGTTGTCAGGAGACATTTGCCCCCTCACTGTTCACCCACTCTCTCCCAGATCATTAACACCTATATCATCAAGGCAGGGGCCAGTCATGCAGTGACCTAAGGAGAAGCAAGAGGACGGAACTGACAGATATTTGGGGACAGCATCCCCCATCCTGAGGTCCTGGGGGAAATTCCCAAGGGATTCCAAGAGGGGAGACCACTGCCTAAGGGCATTTGGCTGACATTGGATATTGTCACTGCAAATCTGGGGCTAGATGGGATCTTTGGTGAGTGGTTTCAGCACCTGCCTTGTCTTTCAGGAGTTATTTTGGGGAGAAGGTGGCCCTGTATTTTGCCTGGCTAGGCTGGTACACCCGCATCCTGTTCCCAGCTGCTGTGCTGGGCCTGCTTGTCTTCCTATATGGGATCTTTCATTTTGATTCCAGTCAGGTCAGGTAAGTGCATTGAGGGGACACTGTGTGTCCATGTCCTGTCATGTGTCCAAATATATGCATGAATGTGTGAATGCAGGTGATCACATCTCCTATACATGGCATCCAATTCTGGGGCCTGATCCTACGAGTTCTCTTTCTATGGAACTGCCTCTGATTTCTACGGGAGCTCTGCATGCAGAGGGCTTGCAGGGCCATTGACTTCCAGCAACCGCTCCACTTTATGGAACAATGGCAGGATCTCTTAAGTGTGGCAGCTCTCTAACCGCATGATAGTGATCATAATAGCTCACGTTCTACAGTCACATGACTCCTGTGGACTTTATTGGGATGTACATTGGTGCATCCCAGTACCCAGTTTGGCCCTTGTAAGGAATGGCATGTCTGCTTTGGAGAATGGGGACATATTGCAGGCAGGGGCAACAGATTGTCAAGTGTGTCCATGCTGCAGACTGCTAGCTACACACCTGCATCTGTGTGTGACCAGGGGAGTGTGTATGAATATGCACCTATGGGAAAGCTTGCCAAGAAGGAGACCTCACCTGGCACTACCAGGGCACTAATATCTGGTAGCTGCGATGTAGAGCTATATTCCATCCATTAGCAGCGAGTATCTGCTCTGCCACTCCCTTGGCTGTTGACTGAGTGGGATGGCTGGAATGAGCACACGGCTGATGGGCTAGCAAAGCAATCATCGTACTCTTTACTTTCTTTCCTGCTCCAGCAAAGAGATCTGTGAAGCCAACACCACCATCATGTGCCCACTCTGTGACCAGAAGTGCCCGTTCTGGCAGCTGTCAGATACTTGCACCTATGCCAAGGTAAATCAATGCTCGCCAGAGAAACCTTCCATTTCTCCACTGGGCCCTTGTTTCCAATAGCTGCTGTGCTTATGCCTCCTCACAATACCCCCAGCAGCACGTGGCCAGTATGTATCCCCCTGGGAAACGAGTCAGCTGCTGAAGGTGGCTGCAGGGAGCTCTTGCACGTACTACAGCAGAGAATTATGTCCAGCTCCGTGGTCCTGCCTGGGGGGTGGAGGCTTCCCAAGCTTTGGGTTGAGTCTTAAGAACTCCTGCTTTCTCCTCTTCTGCCTCCCATGATGTCCTGAGGGCCATGGAGCACTGCTCTCCCCCGTGGGACTGGGCACAGTGCCACTGCTGCAGTCCTCGCAGCACCCTGGGGGCCTCCTGCGTCCTCTCCAGCCAGACTCCGCCCCTGTGCTCCGTGCTCCTTTGTAATCCCGTCTTTCTCGGTCTCTCCTTTGCCAGGTCACTCACCTGTTTGACAACGAGGGGACGATTCTCTTTGCAGTGCTCATGGCTCTCTGGGGTAGGTTTCTGTCTCTCCGTGCCTAGCACAAGGCTTTGAAGTGGGAATGGCCTGTCAGCTGTAGCCTGCTGTGGGTCTGGTGACAAACCGGGTTCCCGCGCTGTTTATTCAGAACCTGCCAACATCCTCTCTACCCAGCAGAGAGGTGTAACTTTACCAAGGGAAGGAGTGGGGTTGGGCAGCGTGTGACGGGGAAGGGAAAGGCACCGGTGAAGTTACGTGAGTTTGGGGATGGGTTTTGGTACTCTGTAACTTTAGATCACTGGTTCAAATCCAGTTCTGGACATTCCCCTCTGGAGTCTGGTCAGGGACCTATGTGAAATGAGTTTGGTGGCCCATCTGTCTTTGGGTTTTCTCTGTACCCACCACAGTAGCATCTGTGTATCTAATCTGGTTTCATTTCAGCTCTGAGGTTACCAACGTATGCATTCCAAAAAGCATTGCCACAGCTAGCACCAGCTGGTATCCTCAAGGTCTGACTGGGCTGTGGATATTGGAGAGGTGGAAGCTGCCCTAAGTCAGAGCAGTCCCTGGGGCTACTCCAAGCTATGCAAGGGCCCTGTTGGCCTCCAGAGCACCCCAGAATTCAAGTATAAAACCACTCCTGTATCTCCATTCCTTCCCTCTCTCCTGCAAAGCACAGCACAGGATCCGGCCCATAATGCTTTGCTAGCAGCTTGTGCAGCAGAGAGACGAGAAACATGCCCCAGAACAGAAGTGAGGGGTAAATCACCCAGGTGGATGGGAGTCTGTCAACACTGGCTAGAAAATATACTATAGGCTGGCCACCATGTCCTGGAAGTGCATTCAGACCCAGCTGTGATCCTTCTCCTGGATTGACCCCATGGCTACCAGCAGTAAACGCCCCCTGTTTGGAGGGCTTTTCTGCAGAGAGCTCCAGGCTGCTTCCCTCCACATTGGAGGACCTGGATGCTTAGCAGCACTTCCCCTACCTGGCCTGTAGGAAAGGCGTGTGCTCCTGTGACTGCTTCGTTAAGTCAATGTCTCCATGTGGCAGAGGAGTCTCTGCTGCTCTGACCACACTGTTCTGTGGTTTCACCTACAGCCACCGTGTTCCTAGAGCTGTGGAAGAGGAGAAGGGCTGAGGTGGTCAGTGGCTGGGAACTGTACGGGTGGGATGAAGATGAGGTGAGAATAAGTCTCTCCTTTGCACTGTCTTCCTCTTTATAGACTCGTAGACTTTTAAAGGCCAGAAAGGACCATCATGATCATCTAGGCAGATCTCCTGCACATCGCAGCCACAGAACCTCACCTGCCCACTCCTGTCATAGACCCCTAACCTCTGGCTGAGATACTGATGTCCTCAAATCATGGTTTAAAGACTTCAAGTTACAGAGAACCCACTATTTACACTAGTTTAAACTTGCAAGTGACCCATGCCCCATACTGCAGAGGAAGGCGAAAACCCCCCTACAGTCTCTGCCAATCTGACCTTGGGGAAAATTCTTTCCTGGTCCCATATATGATGATCAGTTAGACCCTGAGTATGTGGACAAGACCCACCAGTCAGACACCTGGGAAAGAATTCCCTGTAGTAACTCAGAGCCCTCCCCCATCTACTGTCCCATCATCAGCCATTGGAGATGTTTGCTGCTAGCAGTCATAGATTGATTACAATGGCAGGTAGCCAATCTCATTATACCATCCCCTCCATAAACTTATCAAGCTCAGTCTTGAAACCAGTTAGGTATTTTGCCCCCACTGCTTCTCTTGGGAGGCTGCGCCCAAGTTTCACTCCTCCGATGGTTAGAAACCTTTGTCTAATTTCAGGCCTAAACTTGTTGATGGCCAGTTTACCTCCATTTGTTCTTGTGTCCACTGTGACAGGTTAGACCCCCTTGGAATGCCACCTGATGTACTGGGGTTTCACTGAGCCCCTTCTTCTGCTCCATCAGCCTGGATTCCCTCTCCCTGTTATGCTGAATTAGGCTCTCCGGCCTCTTGCAGCACACACAGAGGTAGGGCCACACCCTGCTACAGACACAGACTGAAGTCAGCTCTGTGTGAGAGGATTCACCCAGCGCTCACGTGCACACCCCTTTTGGGGAATAAATCCAAAATAATACTGTCTTGTGCTGTATAGAAAGAGCTTCACAGCGCAAACTCATAAAAATTCCCCCTCTCCCTCAATGTAAAGAGAGAGATGCACAACTTCTTTTCCCCCCAGTTAGGAATTGCACAAACTGGGTTTAATAATACAGAAAACAAATTTATTAACTATATAAAAGGCAGATTTTAAGTGAATAAAAGAGATAACAAATAAGACAAAGCAGATTACTGAGCAAATAAAACGAAATATGCAAGCTAAGCTTAATACGCTCAAGAAACGGGTTACAAAATGTAATTTCTTACCCTAAATGTTATTTTAGGCCAGTTGCAAAGTTTCTGTAGCTTAGAGTTCCAGTCATCTCTCTTTTCATACAGGACCCTGTCTCAGTCTGGACCCCCCTTTGCCTTCCCTTCAGGTGTCTTTAGCAGTCTTTCTTCTTGGGCAGGTAGGCCATGGAGTAGAGTCCCGTTCGCCTTCCTCCCCACCCTTAAATAAGATTTACATAAGGCAGGAATCTTTTGTTTCCCAAACTTGCCCCTCTCCTTTTAGTGGAAAATTACAAGAAGTCCAAGATAATGTTGAGTATCAGGTGACAGGTGCACCTGACCTAGTAGTGTCACAGCTACAGGAAGGCTGGAGATTAGTATCTTCACAGTCTTGCTGTTTCTTCCTAATGGTCCATCAAGTCTGATGGCCCGTTGTCTGGTGGGTGTCTCCCAAATACACACCCAGCTGTAATTGTTACATAGTCCATATTCCTAACTTTAGATACAGAACTGATACATGCATACAAATTGGATAATCACATTCAGTAAATCGTAACCTTTCCAATGATATCTCACATGACCCATCTTGCATAAGACATCTTAGTTATGACATATTCATATCATAGCAATATTTCTATGAAGAATATGGGGTGTAACGTCACATCCACGTTGACACTTTAACTTAAATAACTCCTCTCCCTCCCTGGTACTTATCCCTCTGATGTGTCTATAGAGAGCAATCATATCTTCCCCTCAGCCTTCTTTTGGTTAGACTAAACAAACCAAGCTCTTTGAGTCTCCTCTCATGAGGTAGGTTTTCCATTCCTCGGATCATCCTAGTCGCCCTTCTCTGCACCTGTTCCAGTTTGAATTCATCTTTCTTAAACATGGAAGACCAGAACTGCACACAGTAAACTCCCTCCCTCCCTGTGCCATTGTCTCTCTTGCCAGGAGGCAGGTGGAAGCTGGGCTGTGTACAGGCATAGGGAAAATTGCTGTTCCAACTAAAGGCAATGCTGGGAGGACACTCACTGCTGAGATCCCAGCTGGCACTGCAGAGGGGGACCCTCACGCTGCAGGAGACTGAACTGGGATTAATGAGGCACTGCTGTAGGAGAGGTGCCCCCAGATCTTCCTGCCTTTATTGGGAAAGGAGTGCAGGGCCCCTGAAGTCCTTTCCCTGAAAGGGTTTTAGATGCAGGCTATTAATTAGTGCACAGCACAGGAACTACTGCCACTCCTGTTTATAAAGACTGGGGTCAGTCAGATCAGTCTGCAACATGCCTGTATGCATGATATAACCCACAGCCATTTCAAGGAATGTCCAATCCAGGCCAAGTTATGGAGACCCTGTGCTAGCCAGTCTGGGAGATTCCTGGCTTTGACATGCAGGCTACATGAAGAAATACCTTAGGATCTGCTACAAGTTCTGTCCCTCTTCTGCCCTGCCAGAGCATGTCATGTTCATCGCATGCTTCCATCTCATTGACACATGCAAGGCACTATACTGCCCCTTGGCTTGGTTTTCCCTAGCGCATGGCTCTGACTCATATTCTTTTTTCCCCCATCCCCAGGAGGAGCTGGCCTTGCAGCTGATCAATAACCCAGAGCATAACCTCAAGGAGTACCAGCACTCTTATATCCGCAGCACTATCCTGCTTCTCTTAGTCCTGCTTATGGTACGTGCTATTGGCTCAGACACCTCCACGAGCTTGGGGATTTCTACAGCATTGAGCTATAGGCGCGTGTGGTTGTGAAGTGAATGACACAGAAAGGCGTTTGAAGGGGGACAGGACGCTGAATAGCTTTGGGGGTTGGGGGTGGGCTGCAGAGCCTTTCAGCTCTAAGATGCCAAGTGGATTCTCAGTCTGGCCCAGGGTGGTGGAGATTTCAAGTCATCACCGTTGCATGGCTGCTTGGTGGCCTGTGTAGTGATCTCAGTCTGGTTTCTAAAACACCCCCTAGATGAGTCAGCCTTAACTGGTCCAGTCTCGGAGCAGGCCTGGATTGAGTGCGCCTGGAGACCGTGCGCTCCTAACTCACTATTAGAGAGGAGTGAAGCAAGGGCAGTCACTCTGTGGAAAACGTGAACTGCTGTTGGATGTCCTCTGCCTGTTCTTTGGATAGACAGTGGGGGAGGCAGGGGGCATTCACTTGGGCACTAAAGTCACATGGGGATAGCAGGGAGGCAGCCATTTGCCAGTTTATTTCCTGAGAGCTCACTGGCATGTGCCAGCTGCCTGCCACTCCGCCATGCTGCTGCAGAGAGCGTCCCAGCTCCCATCCCTTCCTACATACAGTGCTACAGGGGAAATGCTGTAAAAAAAACCTATCCGAACTATACACCAGGGGCAGAAACGGGATGGGTGACTATTACTTTACTCACGGGGGGAGGGGGGGAGCATAATGAACAATGGGGGTGCCAGCAATGTCAGCCCCTACATGCACGCGCTTGCTCCTCCGCCCCACACTGCCGGGTCAGTGTCCTCTGTATTTAACCACTTCACTCCTCCCAGAATCTGTGCTGGGCACAGGCATTCCCCCCTGCAGGCTGGGCGCGGGCACTAAGGGCCTGGATCTTGGCCTGCAGCTGCTAACCGCACAGAATCCATCATCTAGCTGCATTTAAGTCTGTCGTTCTCTCCCCCCCCCCCCATGCACCCAGTTTGCTCAGTTTCCCCCTCCCCCTTCATTACCTGCCTCCCCTGCTCCTCCCGTCTCTAATCCCCGCAAGAGCTCTGACGACACACTGCCCTCCCAGATCACCGTGCTCATTGGCATCGCCCATGCGCTCGTCATTTACCGGGTGGTGGCGACTGTAGTCTTCACCCAAAGCGACTTCGAGTTCTTCCGGGAACGGGCCAGCACCGTGGCGGTGATGACGGGGGCTGTGCTGCATTACATCACCATCGTCGTCATGACCAAGGTACGGAGCGCCGCGTGACGGGAGCCTTCCTCATTCTCCCACAATCAAACACCCTGCCCGTCCCTTCTCTCCTTTCACCCTCCCTCTCCTGTGTTGCAGGTGAACAGGCGTGTGGCGCTCTTTCTCTGTGATCTGGGTAAGGCAAGGCACATGCTGTATTCACCCTGCATCTAGCATCCTCCAGCGCAGCCGGCTGGATTCATCCTGAACATTGTTGGTGGAGCACTAAAAGGGGCCGAGTCTTTCCATTGATATCAGTGGGCTTTTTCACTCTGGCCCTCGCCGCTGCTCGTACAGAACACCTTGAAATATGCTAATGCCACCTAGCTCCTGGACGGCCGAGGTTCTCAACCTTTTTCTTTCTGAGGCCCCCCCAGCATGCTATAAAAACTCCACAGCCCACCTGTGTCACAACAGTTGTTTTTCTGCATATAAAAGGCAGGGCCGGCATTAAGAGGTTGCAAGCAGGGCAACTGCCTGGGGCCCCATGCCACAGGGGCCTCCACGAAGCCACATTGCTCAGGCTTCACCTTTAGCCTGGGTGGTGGGGCTCAGGGACTTGGGCTTTAGCCCCATGAGGTGGGGCTTGGGCCTTCTGCCCTGGGCCCCAGTGAGTCTAATGCTGGCCCTGCTTGGCCCCTGAAACCTGTTCGAGGCCCCTTAGGGGGCCCCGGATCCCTGGTTGAGAATCACTACTGTACGGCCCAGCAAAGAGAAGGGTATTACCACAGCCGCCTCCTCCGTCTCCCAGGCAAATGAAATGAGCCCTGGCCAGAGCTCTAATGAGCACAGCAGGCCGGGAGCAATTCCAGAGCCAAGGGTATTCCGTTGGGAGGCCACTCTCGGCTGCTACCAAGGCTCATGTAAAGAGAGGTGAGTCTGGCAGAGAGCCAGCGCCCCAGCCAGGCAGGGCTTCAGAGAGCCAAGTCAGCATGTCTGATACCATCCGGATGTTAACTGGAAGCCAGGGCCGCTGCTGGAGCGCTGGTGAAATCGGTGCCTATCCTGCCCCAGCTCTAGTTTGAGTGTAGCCTCCAGCACAGCTGATTGCTGCAACAGAAGCCACAAGTACATAGATTGCTGTGTCAAAGTCCTGGGATTGCTGAGGCTCGCTAGACCCGGGGCTACAAATCCAGGGGATCAGGTTCAGGTCCAGGGGATTCTGGGTCAGTAAAAGGCCCAAGCACTTTGGAATGAAAGCACGACGGGCTGAAGGTGCCTGTCCAGGAAGGAGGGGGGCTTCTGCTGCTGCGACTAACCCACCCACCTGCACTCCCGTTTCCAGAGACGCCACGGACATTCTCGGAGCGTGAGAACATCTTCACTGTGAAAATCTTCACCTTCCAGTTCTTCACCTACTTCTCCTCACTGATCTACATCGCCTTCTTCCTGGGAAGGTGAGCACGGCTATGCCCCGGCCAGGTCCCCAGCTGCGGCCATTCGGCACAGAAGGAGCTGTACCCATTAACCCCGGGCAGAGCTCTGCATTAGTACTGTAACACACACCTAGGGCCAATCACCCTAGGGAGGCCCATAAACCCAGTCAGGTTTGCCTGGTGCTTCTAACCATTGGTTGCAGGGGGAAGGTATTGGCTGCTCTGGTGGCAGGGATAAAGAAGGCTGGTGCCGCTAGTGAGTGAGAGAAAGTTCCTGCAGCCTGACTTCCTGGGCGTTGATTCTGTGGGTGAAATCTTGGCCCCCTGGAGGTCACTGGGAATTTTGCCATTGATTTCAATGGGGCCAGGATGGATTTCACCCTTGTTTTTTGGAATGGGTGTCACCCTTGTTTTTTGGGATGGGTGTGTAGTTCTTCACCTCTCTCGGCTTGTCTTTCTCTCGGTTTCTGTCTGTCCCTCTCTTGCTGGGTTGATGCACTTGACTCCTCCTGTGTTTGTCTCCCACCCCCTCTCGCTTTCAGTCTCTGCACCTGCCTCTTTCTCCCCTTTGGTGCCTGGGTCTCTGTCCCAGGGGTAGTCATTACCCTTCCAGCTCCCTGCTTACAGAGGGAGGGGCTGGGAGCACCAGCATCAGGCCTATTTAACTCTGCACTCTCCTGGTCAGGATTAACGGCCGTCCTGGGAACTACGTGCGTGTAGCTGGCAAGTGGAGGCTGGAGGAGGTGAGTAAATTGTCCATAGTGCTCTAATACCCTCTCTGCACCACTCCTGCTCCCTGACACATCTCTCTGCCCCTTCCCCACCCACATCCCTGGCACTGTCTCTGTTAAAACCGTTGCTTCCTTCTACCCAGTACAACCCTTCCAATCACTCCAGGTTCTTCCTGGCCCATGTATCTAGCACCCAGCCCTTTGTCCCAAAGCCAGCCCATCTGATCTGCACAGTATAACTCTCTTCTCTTTGCAGTGCCACCCAAGTGGCTGCATCACTGATCTCTTTATCCAAATGGCCATCATAATGACCCTGAAGCAGACCCTGAGTAACTTCGTGGAGTACCTCACCCCGTAAGTCCACGCACCCTAGGCACTCATGCCAGTAGGATGCGCTCACGTGTCTGAGCTGCATGTTTCTGCTTGCAGAAGCAGTCTGCTCTGACTACAAACTTTAACTGGGATTCCCCCAGGCAGTGTCTGGGGAAGGCGAGTGTGAGGCCAGTTGCTGAGATAAGATCAGTCAGCAAATTCTCTTCAGGAAAAAATGAAATCTGTCTCTGGAGAAAGCAGAAGTAGATCTGGTCAAGGGACAAGAACAATACCATGTGACACCGTGACTAATCACAGAGCCAGAACAGTGCATTCCGAATACAGAACAATGGACGGGAAGGTCCGTACGCAGCGTTCAGCTCAGACCTTGTCACAAAAACGATTTGAGAAAAGAACAAATAAATCAAATGGGGCTCTGCTCCTGGACAAGTCAGAGAGAAAAAGGGCTGAACTCACTGAATAAATTATTCCCTCTGAACAGCTTGGCCTAGCTCTAACTGGCACCTTGACCCAACACTAAAAATTCACTCAATTTTTCTTTTAAAACTAATTTTCTTTGACATTTGGAATGGCTCTCCTAGCTATTTAGTATGTTTGCCACCTCCTGAATTTTTAGGCCCCAACTTTACTTGTCTTGGGGAGCAGTTACACCACAATAGCCCTGTTGATTTTAGTGGGACTACTCACGTGAGTACGTGCTCGTCAATGTCAGAACGGGATTCACTGTCAGGCCGTTGGTAAACTACAGCTATTGGGCCATCTTATAGATGGAAACTGCCTTCTGCTATTGGTAAGAATTCCCTCAGTAACACCAGCAGAAGGTGATATGTTTGAGAGAGAGGAAGGGGGAGAGTGTGTGTGAGACCTTACAACAGAACCAACCCACTGCTCAAGTCTCCATGTCGGTGTTCCAGAGGGGTTACTGTTGGCCCAGTGCAGGGAGCTGCTCTGGTAGCCCCCACACTTGGCTCTTTAGTATATATCCCTCACCCCTCTGCCCTTGTGTTACTGTCCCTGCAGCTGGCTAAGATTAAGGTTCCAAAAATCACTTGCCAACCCAAAGGACAAAGACAAGGTTCACATGGAGAAAGGACCCAAGGACTCCTGCAAGGAGCAGTGGCTCAAGAACTACCAACTCAACGAGGTCAACGTCTTCAGCTTGTTCGACGAGTTCTTGGAAATGAGTATGTGGCGCTCTGGGGTCATGAGTGTAATTAGTGGGTAGCGGGGAACGCCTGGTTCTCAGGTGCTGTGTTCTGGGCCCACACCTGCCCATTCCCATTGCCTCTTCTCTTTGGGTCCGTTTTTATCCAGGGGCAGCAGGTTTTAGCTGTTTACTCAACGCAGGTTTCCTTGCACCCAGTACACAAAGGGTGCTCTGAATGCCCTGGAGCTGGGTGTGACCATGCTCCCTGCTCCTGGGGTCCAGTTCCTGATGTTGGGGCTAAGGGGGAATCATACCCTTGCAGCTAGCAGGACTGGGGCTCCTGTGAGAGAAGCTGGCCACCCCTGTGACAGAGTGGTAATACCAAACGCCCATTTACATCCCAGGGAGTGGGGGCAGGTCCTAGGTCGCCACATGCAGCTTGTGGAACGCGGTCAGGCTTGGTGACTGCGTTCACTATTGAGGGGGAGGTGCGAGGGAACCAGCCCTGCCGCTCACCCAGTCTGTAGCCCATCCCTAAGCTAAGACTCTAGAGCCCAGGGAGAAATGGGCACAGACTGGGTAGATTCACCCACACACCTGCTTGGGGTCACTCGCACACATCTTGCCCCGAGCAAGACCTGGCAGGTAACTGTGACATCCCAGGAGGCGGCCTGGGGAGGATTTGTGCCTCAGGGACGACCAATTCCTTCCCTGCCCTGTCCCGCCCTTGCTTCTGGTAGCATTTGGGTACTGGCTGTGACCACTAGCAACTACTCTCCCCTCTCCTCCCCCCCCCATCCCTGTTCAGCTGAGCAGCCTGCACTTTGGGGAATGGGGGCAGAGTCAAGGTCCCACCCCTCTGTGATCACTCCTGCATGGGTGACGTTGGGGTAAGTAGAACTGGGCATGCAGCTCCTGATCTTCCCTCCGCCCACCCCCCCCCCATGGCTACAGCCATGAAGCGAGCAGATCACGCGGAGGGCGAGAAGGGGTGTCTGACTCATCCTCTCACGCTGCCTGGCCACTCAGGGCCATGCCAACATCCGGCTCTGAGGCGTCGCGCATACAGTAAGTACTTGGGCCTGTGGTCTAGCTGGATGTCCTCACAGCTCCCTTACGGTGCCTGTGCTTTGTCCTGTTCTCAGTGATCCAGTACAGCTTCACCACCATCTTTGTGGCTGCCTTCCCCCTCGCCCCGCTAATGGCCTTCATCAATAACCTCTTTGAGATCCGGCTGGATGCCATCAAGATGGTGCAGCTGCAGAGGCGCATAGTGCCTAGGAAAGCCAATGACATCGGTGAGTGGGGGCCAAGGGGATGGGCTCTCCATGAAGAACATGGGCCCGATAAAGAAGGCACTTTGGGGAGGGGAAGGGCTAATCTTACCCCAAGACTTAACAATGGCACTAACTACTGCAACAGACTCTTTCCCTAAGTCATGGTGCCAGAACATTGTCTGCTCCTGCTTCTGCTATTCCAGGGGACAGTTAGAGATAGAGGGTGCATTTGAAGAGCTGGGGGGGGAGGGGACAGGATTAGAACAGCAGCAGGGCTGTAAGTCAGGACTGAGGCACATTGGTAAAGGCATGGATAGAATCTGGATACACTTTGCTTTGGCCTAGAACGCATTGCTAGTTCCTCACGTTCATATGCAGCCCGTCTGCTAGGGTTACCATATTTCAGCAAGCAAAAAAGAGGACGGGAGGAGCCCCGCCCTAGCCCCGCCCCTGCCCCTCCCACTTCCCGCCCCCCTCAGAACCCCCAACCCCCCCCCCGTTCCTTGTTCCCTGACTGCCCCCTCCTGGGACCCCTGCCCCTATCTGCCCCCCAGGACTCCACCCCCTACCTAAGCCTCCCTGCCTCTTGTCCCCTGACTGCCCCCTCCTGAGACCCTCCCCCCATCCTAACTGGCCCCCTAGGACCCTACCCCCTACCTGTACCCTGATTGCCCCAACCCTTATCCACACCCCCACCCCCAGACAGACCCCTGGGACTCCCACGCCCCATCCAACCACTCCCCACCCCCTGACAGCCCCCCCCAGAACTCCCGACCCATCTAAACCCCTCTGCTCCCTGTCC